TGCCTCGCGGGGAGCGCTGTCCCCACACCCGCTGTGGGTGGAGAGCTGCTGTCCCCGCCTGCTGGGCGCACCTATCTCTGGGCTCAGTGTAGCAAACAAATATGGGAACTGGATCTGCCCATGCTTGAGAGTTGTGTGCGCTGCTTGGTGCTTTTCTGGTAGGCTACAGGTAGAGGCTTTTAGCCTTAATTCACCTAGCACTGAACTCTTACCGTTGCATGAGATTTTTCTTGGAGTTTTAGGGGGTTTTATAGCGTCAAATACCCACTTTCTTCTGAGCTGCTGGGTATGGAAGTAAGGCAGGTGAAGCCCCTGTTTACCAGCAAAGATTGCTGAGCCAAATTGCTGGGATTGCATTACTAGGTAGTAATTGTTGTGCGTCCGTTGAATTTTTGTCTCTTAGATTAACACTGGAGGCCTTATGTTGGCTTTTCATTCCCTGTATGTTTCACAGTAGCTCTCAGGCATTGTAAAAGGTGTTAGATGCTGTAAATCATCTGCAACTAAAAATAGATAATATTCAGTTTGTCTGCATTCAGTAAAGATCAGGACAATGCATCCAGTCAGCTTTTCTATTTTGCTCAAGCTTCTGTTCTTGTTGTATAAACAAACTATTTGGAAAAAGCAATTTAGTAGTACTGATAATTAAAACAAGTCAACTCAACAAAGAGGTGATCAGGAAGAACAGATGTGCTATTTTCAAAATCTGTTCTCAAAAAGCAGGATCTTTCACATTTTCTCAAGTGTGCCACACAAGAACACTGCAGCAAAGGCCACTAGTTGCTCTTGTTACCCCAAATCTGGGTTTGGTACTTGGTGTGCAATGAACCAGTCTCACACACTCAGACGAGATCTGCTTTATTTCAGTATTGTACAAATTTGGGTGCTCGGTGGCTTCACCCAAAGCATGCACCCCTGGGCACTTTTCAGAGTTCCTTTTACACAGAATTACCAACTGGTAAGTTTTCAAGAACTTCCAGTGACACTGATTGATAAGTAATTTGGATACAGTTACACACCACTTACACTACTCATGGTCTGTGAGGAAGGGATTTCACCTGGGCTGGGTGGGGTCTCTTGCCCTGGGGTGTGATTTTTAGTGTTATAATGAGGCTAGTCCACTTAAGGATTGTCCTAATTGTTTAGTTGACAGTACAAAACTACATAAAACCAAGATAATATCTAAGTACATGCAGTTTATAGTTTTTCAGGATGTTTCTTCTTCAAGGACAACCAATTATTGATTAAGATTTCCTTAACCAATCATTTTTGATAGCTTCAAGGATGGTCATCTTGTCCAAGAAATTGTACACATATTTGTCTTTTCCCTCATACCTGCTGCTAGTCTTAACTGCATCTTTATGAGCCAGTATTTCACAAGTCTTTAACTCCATATCTGTTTAACTGGTAGTGGATAACACTCCCCCACAGATGTTGTCTTTTGATTATAGAGGTGCTATGGCACCATTTCTGAGGCTTGAAGAGCCAGACTGGACCAATGCTGGATCCTCAGAGAGGATCTAGAGTTTTGAACATTAAAGCAGAGAAAGGAGGAGAGTAGATCAGAACTGTGAACAGCACCAGGCAAGGAAGAAATAAAAGGGTTGCAGCTGATTCCCTGCTTCTTGCCTGCCAGCAGTTCACCTGCTCTCATGGCAGGGAGAAGAGAGGGCATTGTATGAATTCTGGGAAACATTTCTGTCAAGTCTCCATATTAAAATTTGTTGTTGTTGTTTCATTTGTAGGTATAGCAGACACAGTTTCATCAGTATTTGTGTGACTCTTACGGGCCAAAGACCACAAGCCTCATTTGGGGACACACTGTGTATGAAGATTTACTTCAAAACGTTTTCTAAAATTAGAAGTCACCCTAAGAGCAATTCCTGCTTTTAGGCAGTACAGGAACGGGTTGGCTGGAGTTTTAAAGAATGGTTTCATTTGGAATGTGTGGTGCACATCAAACCTCTCCTGGACTAAGAAGACTCAGAATTAACTGCAGAGTACACAAAAAGAAGTTACAAAGATGGACTGAAGCTGCAAGTGTGAACTCTATCCAGTTGTCTATTCTTACTCCATAAAAGTTTTTACAAGGAAAGAAGTGATGGCAAATAAGGACTTTGGATCAAATAATCGATAGTACGACAGACTATAATTCAAATGCTTTGACTGTAAGAAGAACCACAATTAGGTCTGCTTTTATTGGGTGGGGAGGAAGGGCAATTGGAAGAAAATATTCTCTCTGTTATTCTTTGACTCTTGTCTTGGCTTTTCTAGCACCTCTGACAGACACAGACATTTTGTTTTCCTCCTTTTTGTGAAATCTTACTTTTTCTCTAAAGTTAGAAGAATGGAGGAGGGAAATGGATAGTCATCCTTTTTGTGAAATCTTACTTTTTCTCGAGGGAAATGGATAGTCGGAGTTGTTTCCTGAGCACTCAGTGTCTCTGAAGTTACAGAGAGTCAGTTTGAATCTTCAGCCCTTTATTGGGCTATATTGGGTAAGTATAGCTTCAGAGTTCTTCATCACAAGGAGCATGTTTTGGAAGGTGCCTGAAGTGAGTCTTCTGCATTCATTTGTTAGAGGGATGGAAGAGTCAGAAGTAACTGTATGTAGACAGCTGGAGGCAGTTCTGGTGGTTTAACATCTGTGTCCTGGCAGGATGTATGTGTTTGCATTGGGCCTTTCCCTGCCCTCAGAGCTGTGCCAGTTTCGTGCCTTCTCTCCTCCCTACTTCACAGCTAACAGGGAAGCCAGTTGCAAAGCAGAAATTAAAAACCTTATTTATTATAGAAAAAAATGTGAGGGTGAGGTTTGTTAATATATATTTGCCACCTTTAGAAAGTCAGCAATTACGGAATATTCCAAATAGAGTGGGCATTAAATTCTCCTACATTAATTGAGTTTGTGGGTGGGACTTGCTGGGAATCCAAAAGGGACTCCAGCTTTGCTGATCTATAAAACTGCAGTTTGCAGGCAAATGTAGCTAGAATTCACAACTGAACATGTAATTCTAAAATGTTCTGAATCTTTCACCTGGAATGCTTTACCTGTGTCTTTTATGAAGCACTACTGTGAAAAGTATTAAAGCAACTCTGTAATTTTGGCACTCAATTACTGTACCTTGTTAACAGATCAATGTGTTATAACCCTTTTATGATAAATACGAGTGTTCACAGTTGTCTATTTTAAGTATAGTCCTTATAAGTGTTAGTATTTTAAATGAAGACTAAGTGCAATGTTTCACCACTTCAGGTTCTGCTACGTAATTTACTGGCTGAAAATTTCAGATTCACAAAAGGGCAAGTCTTCTGCAGTCTTAATCTTCTGCAGTATGGCCTTCCCTCAGCACTTTACAAACAACAGATAGCACACTTCCATAACTGGAAAACAATAGCCAAAGTTCCTAATTGGCATTGATAAGAGTAACGTTGTTATAGTACCATCAAACACAGATGTTCCACCAGTGTTTTTGAGGTGGTACTATCAGGCAGCCTAAAGTACCTAAAGTGCTAAGATAGAGAGCAGCTCACCAGAAATTAAGGCTTACAGCGTATGCGTATTTCCACGGAAATCATTTAAAAAGATGTCTCTCTGATCAGATGACACAGTTCTATCAATATACTATAGCCAAATTTGCCTTGCTTTTATTATATAGCAATTCTATCTTTATTTCAATGATATTTTGAATAAAAAAAAGACTTTAAGTGCCTCTCATACTGTTTTTTGAACTTCATGCTTTCTTTAGAAGAGGACAACAAAAGATGAGCTTTAATACTGCTTTATTTGAAGTGTAAAGTAAGTATTTATATAAGCTATTCTTAACAGTAAGTATTTCTATGGATGGGATTTACATGTAACATGTAGATAGCAGCATGATTCTTAATGTACATAAAAGTAAAGATGCTTGAGTTTCTGTAGATGCAGGATTCACTTTGTTAAATCTGGCTTTTGAAACTCTTAACATGAAATTCCTTTGGAAATTCCACTAGAGTTCAGAAACTATTCTTCTGAGGGTGATGAGACTAATTACATCCTCAACTAGAAGTAAATTAATAACATCCATTAGGCAAACAAACAAATACAAAAATATGTACAAATAAGACATGATCGTGATAATTCTGTATACCTTACTCCCACTCTCTACGTGTAGGCTTTAAGAAGCCAACCAAGTTCAATTGGTCATTGTGCTGAATTGGGGTATCATTTTAGTCTTAATAAAGGCTAACTCTACAGACTGTTTTTTCTACAAACACTTCTTCCGCAGGCCAGTCATACTATTCACATAGCTGTTGTTCATAAATACGTCCATGAAAATAGCTGTTGAATTTTACAATTACACTTCTTCCGCAGGCCAGTCATACTATTCACATAGCTGTTGTTCATAAATACGTCCATGAAAATAGCTGTTGAATTTTGGGGAAGCCCCTTTTGAGGTGAAAGTCCTGAAGTTCTTCACAGCACCCAGTCTAGAAAGGCAGGCTAGTCTGAGTCGTCGCTGCTGAAGTAGGAGCTGTCACAGTATTCTGCCATGTAAAGGAATTTATGAATGGTTGGGTTCATCTTTGGTATCCAGTGTCTTGGCACTAGAAACGTTGAAAGATTGAACAAATCCACAAACACCTTGTATCTGTCACTGAAAAAGCCAATCAGAACAATTAGTACTGCAGTATCTGCACGGAAGACACGTTTCAACATCCTCAAGAATCACTCCATCTCTTATTTATGTGACAAGGTTTCTGCACTAACCCTCCTTCTGAGCATTCAGTAACAATCCAATCCTTTTTCTAGTGCATAGCCATGAAACTTAAAAGGAAATACGGTTGCTGTAGTTAAACTTTTCTTCTGAAAATGCAGAGTATGTAAGCTGTGAGCTCCAGACCTACACTTGTGTGGTAGATATGATGCAGAATTTAACTAGGAAGAGCATTAACCTGAAATTAAGGAAGAGCAGGAGGCCTTGCTGAAAAAGATTGTGAAACTCTAATCTTCAACTTCAATCTGTCTGCTTTCTGTTCCACCCTCTGTTACAATGGCTGTGAGGGGAGCCATTGCCTACAGCTGTACATGGAGGTCACCAGCTGCGTATGGTTTTGAAAACAAATTTCAAAGAAGGTTATTTTAGACCTCTTGGAAGATGTTTTAAATATCCTTGTACTTTTTGACATAATGTTTAGAACTGTCGGGATGTAGTTGCAGCTAAAAGCCTTGAATTTTCTAACTAGATGAATCCTCAGATTTTGGGAGAAAATAAGTTCTACCCATCCCAAGAGTTGTGTGCTCAGGCCCCAGCCATCCTTTTAAGTTCCTTTTCTGCTTCATCCAACAGAATGAAACCTGAAGAAGGTGACCAAAAGGACTTATTTTTGCCCCCAAAGGCTCAGAATTTATATGTCAACCTGGTAAGTAAATGTACAGCAGCAGGAGGAGTCACAAAAGAGAAACAACCACCCTCTGGTGTCCAATGAGTCCAAAGACATCTCCTGGAGGTAAGAGTATCTACAAACTCCATTGTTGCAGGTTATGGGAGAGCGCATTATTCTTACCTCACTGTTGAGCGCAAGTACTGGTAGCCTGATGATCCTCCGGTGCCAGCCTTGCTGCCAATCATCCTGTGCACCATGCAGACATGGTTATCTAATGATACAAGAGAAGGACAGGGTCTGTGTTCAGTGCTAAGCTATAATCAACAGATAACATCAAGGTGCATCACTGAAATATTAACGATTATACAGAGATCTGAACAGAGATCCAGAACTACTAGGTCTTCAGCAGTGTAGGAGTTAATTATGCCACTCTTCTGTCAACTAGTATTATTGTTAGACCCAAATGAATTCAATAATTATTATACATTATTGTGCTCTGTTAATACAGAATTAATACATTCATTTATGGATGTCTAGATAGAGAAGGAGCAGAAGGAATGTTTGCATATGAAGAGTTGTCATCATGGTGTTTTGGCAGACATTGGAAAATATATGCCTGTCCCTTAAATAAAATTGTTCACCTAACTTAAAGCACATCATTGAAGCAATAGCTATACGTATGAACAGAAGCAGCTGTTCATCTTTCCTCTTAGCCAAAGTACAAACAAAAGTCACTCCTAACGGATGAATTCAGAAGCTTAAGTCTGAATCTCTAGGTGTAACCAGTCTGAAAGAGGGTGAACATAGCAATTTACTTGCATCTAAAATAAATGGGAGTCTCACAAGCAAAAAATGAAACTTACATCTCCATTTGGTCATGAGGACATCGATATCCATGAGGGAGGTAAGAAGCTGAAAGGGAACCTGAAAACGAGGCTCCTCCCTTGGAAAATAAAGAGGAGACAGTGAGACCTCTCTTGATATGCTCTATTTTTTCAAAGTAGCATTTCACCAGCACATAATGACTTAACATTTATTTTTCCTAAATTGGTAGTGAAATACCAGTAGATACTTGTAACAAATGTTTCTGCTACGTAGGTCTTGAGCTGTGCCTTTTCCCTCATACTTGGAAAAATACTCTAAATCTTTCTAGGACACTTTGTGGAACAGTATTTGCTCATTTTAGTCTAAGGAGCAGCATCTGGACAGAAGCCATCTGCCCAGAGGGGATGTGTGACCTTAACATACAAAAAACTCACCTGGACACAGCTCTGAGCAGCCCAATTTGACCCCCAATCTGGATCTAACTACTCCAGGTTTTTGAGCATGGTCAGGCTAGATTACATTCCAAGGCCTCTTCCAAGCTAAATAAACCTGTGCTACTGTGCTCAACCTTCACCTCTCCTGCTGACAGTAAGCATTAAAGACATATCTTCCAACATTACCTGTAGAAGTAGATCATTAAGGCACCCTTCAGTGCTTTGTAAGACAGGCGTCTTTCTCCTGCAAAATACAAGTGTTCTTAGTTTGGTACTGATTCTCCTGCAAATTCAATGATATTATATGATAATATGCATAAAAAATTAAAAGTGCATATTGACTTATATTAATACAATCTACCTTTACTAAGCAGATGTTCATGGCGTTTTTCATCAAACAACGAAAGTAATACATCTTTCTGTTTTTGGAATTCAGATAATAAGTCATCTTTTTCTTCTGATTCTGGTTTGGCCTTTGATATTTAAAACAAAAACAAGTTTTAGAATTCAACAGAGAAAATTAAGCACTTGAATGACTCATGATGTAACTTCTATTTTTGGCATAAATATTCTGTAAGTTTCTATCTTAAATGTAAGAACTGTATTTCCAAACAAGATAGATGAGTCACTGAATCATTGTCCTCTAAAAACACACAAATGCCATAAAATGTACAATTAAATACCTGTCAACACAATTCAGATGAATGAATGTTCACACAAACTGGCAACTTAGTTCTTTTGGTCTAGAGGCCTTAAAAATGCCTCTTCATTGTTTGAAGTCTGATTTTTTTTTTTTTTTCTCCTAAGGCAAAAAAAATAAATCCTTGGACAGCTATGGGTAAGAAAATTGTAAAAAGTTTAGGTAAGTGAGAAAGCTGTAAACAGATATCGTCGGGAAACTGATTAATTCTTATGTTATGGTGTTTTTCCCATTAAAAATACACTTAAAGCCACAGGTCTTACAGTATTTGGGGATTTTCTTGTGCTTATTTGCCCATGTAATTCAAATGCCACATATTGTTAAATAGAAAAGGGCTGGTCATAGTGACACTTCATATAGCTCAGGGGCCCAAACTTCCTGTTTACTCTGAACTGTAGATGCAAGTACTAGCTAAAGTTCTAGTTTCAGTAAAATCAATTTCAACCCTTCCATTGATACTATCCCTTTGGTTTTGCAATCAAAATCATCTATGTCTCACATGCTTTAAACCATCTTAGATGTGAAATTACAAACTTAGTCAGATTTCCTGAAAAAATGGCTATTTTTTCTGCTTCTTGCAGACAGAGGCTGCTGAAGGTTAATTGAAGTGAGCAAGAAACTCTGAGTGGGCTGAAAGTCTAATTATGTCCGGATGTAATTTTGCCAGCTGTATTTGCTTATAGCTAGATCAGGAGTACATTGTGTACCTGCACCAATGCAAATTCCTCTTCTAGACCTTTTAGAACATTCACTTCAAATTGTCCCCAGAAATTGAAACCTTCTGCATTGAGTCCTGGAGTTCTTTCCAGCCATGCCTTGAATAATAATAATAATAATAATAATAATAATAATAATGTGTTCAAACATTAACAGTGCAAGCACATTACCCTAGAATTACCAGTTACAGCAACATAAATTATACTGCTACAGTTGTTCTGGTTTAACATCCTGTAAAGATGCTTATTGCTGGAGTGAGCATGTCCATGCAGATGATTTATACCTGCATAATGGTGCCATGCAAACACACCCACAGATTGCACGTTAAATTACTAGTGTTGGAAGACAAAAGCTGTCTCATTCTAAGAATATCTTTAAAACCAACTCCCTCGCAGATACAGGAAAACAATCTTATTCCACATATATAGGATAATTGTAAAGATTAATCTCAGAAGGAAAATACAGAACCATCTATACAACCAGTTTTTATCATGCCAGGCTGATCAAGCAGTCTGTTATTAACTTACACCACGATATGTGATGATACAAGACAGAAATTTACTTGGCAGTTAGCAAAAATTTCAGTTTGATTTCCTTTTAATAATGGTAATGAAAAAAGGAGGGGAAAAAATTAAGCATCTTTATGGTCAAACTCCCTTTAGAGGTCATTTAATTTAGCTGCTTCTCATCCAAAAGATACAAGAGCATGAAGTCTTAACAAAAGAATAAAAGCTAGAGAAATTTCCTATATAGTCTGTATCAGGTGTCGTTAGACAAATGGATAGAGCTAATGAGTAGATGCTTTTATTGAGGTTTATACTGCATTATTCTTTAGAAAGTTATGTTAAGTTTATACATGAAAATGACAAGACAGAGAAATTACTATGAGTAATTCATAACTGAGACAAAGTCATGAAATCATGGTAAGTGATAATGAAACATTTGCTGAACATCTTTTGGGTTCTCTTTTCCTTTTTTTTTTTTTCTTTTTTTTTAAATGTCTCTTAGAGCCATCACTAATAGTGGAAATATCTTTGAAGTTTTCCATGAAAAAAAATGTGAATGAAAGAGTACATTTATATTCCTAGCTCATACTTCCACAATGCACTTCAATACTTTTAATAGTCAAGCTTCTCAGACAAGAGGAAAAGCTGTGATAAATCAGTTGGTTTACTAATGACTAACTCTCTTTCACATAAAATTTGGTAAGAATCCAAAAAACAACTGAGCAGAGAATTGCCAGCGTGCTTATATCTCTCAAGGAAGAATTTGTCACTGACAACAATGAAGGACATTCTTGGGAGATGGGGGAAAACAAAGCAGGGTCTAAAACAGACATAGTTACCTCCACAAGTTGCAGCAGCGTTGGTTCTTGCTCTGATTTAAGCAGTAGTTCATAATCCTGTCCCTTGAAGTTATCACGATAATGCCTTCTGTTATAAGGGACTCTCAGACTTTGTGGAACACCAATTTTGTTCTCTAGCAAGCGAAACTGCAGGCTCTGAAAACCTGAGGCTGGGCTTAGGTAGTATCTTTGGGAACAGAAAAAAGATGATACAAAAATGCAGGAGATTATTTTACAGTAATGGACTTCTCTGGTTCTCAACAAAATAAAAAATATGTATTTCACATTTGAAAATATCAAGTAGATACCTGAGTGCTTTTTATATGATTGCAATTAAAAAAAAAGAAAAAAACCTATTTCAATTTAACTACAATGTATGTATAGCATATTGTAATTTTCTAGCTATATATTGTTTGTACATACAGAGACATATGCACACACTTATGTTTGTACTGTGTTTTAAAATGGTATCTTTATGTGTGTGATGTACAGGAGGAAGTGTTAGTGAATGTCATGTCCTTTCCAGACAGAGTGAGCATCTTCACCCCAAATAGCTATTCCAAAAATTTCCACATCATCAAAGTGCCCATGAATGCCTTTATAGGCTTGTTATGTAGGATAATTGCCATGTATATAATAGAATAATGTTCAGAAAAACATTTAGTGAGTTTCATTTCATAGATTCAGTAATGGGATTCTGTCAGAGTTAAATTGTGTGACCATGCTGAAAAAAAAAAATAAATATGAAAAGTTATCTGAAATCCTACATTGCTAGGTAATTGTGATGCACTGTGAGTTGCAAATGTAAGATTTGGCAGATACACATAATCTATTTGATCTTGTGTTTGTGTATCAAATGATGGTATGTTGTTGAAAAGCAGAAGCAAGAATGCATCAAAACAGATGATTACCCCATGAATTTCCCCTGCTGCATCATCTAGCATTACACTACAGAGGTTTCAGATTTCCAAGAGAAGCAAAATTGTAGTTTCATGTGCTTTTCAGTTAGGGAACATTAAAAGACAGAAAGGAAAGGGTACTAAAACAATGCAGAGTGGGTGGGATGCTGGATGGCACTGTGGTCACAAGTCAGACGGGTCAGTGACATGAGCAGAACAAGAACAGGAAGGCAGACAGTGAATGAAGATGTCACACATGGAAGAGTAGCGGAGGGACCTAGCCGAAGTGCAGGAAGAGCTAGAAATGCTGTGGTAGAAGTGAGGCGAGCCAAGGGATTCCAAAGGAAGTCCAGGCAGAAGAGCTGCCAACCATCTAACCCAGCGATGCATTGGGCAGCCTCAGGGTAGCAGAAGTTATTTGGGAGAAAGAAGAGACAGCAATATTTCCTTCAGCCAGCTGAAGCCCCAGCACTGCAGACACCGAAAACACGAAGCAAGGAAACGCCAGGCAAGCCAAGACAGCTGAAGTATCTGCTTAATAACCTACAGAGAGTGCATTTCTCCCTCCCAAGCACTCCTATGATTTGCCATAGAATACCACTGCAACTGTGTAGTGGTAAATTTCAAGTAAACCGTTAACGGAACCAGGACCTATTTCTGTTGCTTTAACTTTTTACTCTGAAATCATTCAGCAGCACCACACTTAAACATTGACAATTAACTTGTACTTCTTTGCAGAGCATGCTGGACTCACACTCTTGCTCAACTTCTTAATTGACCATTGCACTCTAATGCCACGGCTGTCTCTCTAGGGCATACTCTCACCCCACTGAATGATGCACATAAACGAGCTGCTGGCACACATGCAAAATCCACAGTCAGTTCTAAGGATGGGAATCACTAGCTTGTGTTAGCTTACTAAGCACTTACCTGAAATCAAAGAAGTCCAGTGCAGTCATAGTTTCCAAAATTGAGAACTGTTCCACAAGTAACTTCAGAATCATTGAAATTCTGTTCATTCGAGTAATAACCTTCAGCATGTTCCTCTCATCTCTTACCTGTAGAAGAAATAAAGATCACAAACAGAAGGAATGGTCTTCTTTCTATATCCTACCTATATATTCCAGGTCTTTTCACTGTTGTACATCACTACAGTTCTCAAGTCCTTTCCACATAAAATCCATGGCAGCAGAAACTCGTCTTGAATAGAGCCCTGTTGATACTGCAACTATAATTTTGAAAGACTGAAATCTGTTTTTTTTTCTGACTGATCATACATTACAGCTAGGCCAGATATATATTTTTTTCTTGTCTACATTTTTGTCTGAAATAGAAGTCACCCCAAGAAATTAAAATCTAGACCAAAATAATTTATACCATGATCATTTTCAATGGTTACAATACAATTTTAATTATATATGCTATAAGATGATAATTAGGCTTTCTATTATAATCACTTCTATAGTATTCTCTATGTGTGAAGGAGCAAGTCATAAAGCAGGTGTGGAAAGTACTTAAGAGTTGGGAAGCAGAATAATCTGAGCGGTACATCAGGAGAGCACATATAAAAAGGTGTTCATCAGAGATGTGCATTAGCAAGCAGAGGCAATCAGAGAAGACCACGTCTGGTGGGAGAAAGAAAATACTAAATGGAAAAGACAGAAGGTCTCTTCTGAGTAAATTGAACACTTTACTTGCAGAGGAGTCTGCTAAAATTTCTATTTGTTTTAATGGGATTAAACTTGTCTCTAAGACCTGGGCATGCCATCAGGAAATGTCAGACTACAAAAATGAAAGATGATAACCATTTAGTTAATCACCTGCCTCCGTGCTTAACCTTAACATTGACATTTCAAATTCTGATTATAAGCAAAGTTTCATTTTTCACAAAAATAAATTAGAAAAAAATATTCTACTTAAGAACTGATTTTGATCAGTTATAATTTCATATAATGTTCAACTAAAAAGCCAACAAAATTATGAATGTGGACGACAACAGAGAACATTTTTATTGGACATTATGATAAAGGTTCCTTTT